GAGCGCCGCCGCCCAGCCTTCCTGGCCCGTGGGGTGGGGTGGGGGCCTTCCGCCTCCCTGCGCTCGGGGGGGGCAGAGAGGGGGATGGTGACTAGGGGGGGGGGGATATCATGGCGTGGGCCATGATATTTCCCCAAATTTCATGACGCCTCTTCTCATTCCATTACGTCCCCCGCCGGTCATGATTTGCACCCCCCCCTCTTGGACACCCCCCTCTTGGCCGCTCCCGATGCGCCCCTTCCTCCTTCTCTCCCCCGAGGGGGGGGGGAGCCTTCCTCCCCGCGCGGGGGGGGGACTTTCCTCCTCTTCCCCGCGGGAGGTGGGGGGAGCCTTCTTCCTCCTCCCCGCGGGGGGTGGGTGGGGGCCTTTTCGCCGTCCTGGGTGATCCAAAGATGGGGTCCTGAGGGGTGGGGGCCCAAGGATACGAAGGGACCCAAGGGCGGATATACAGTCCACCCGCCTAGTAAAGATGGGCAGCCTTCCCAGGGTTACCCTTGCATTCTTGACGCTTCGGCCCATTCTTAGCGACTATCGCTGGCCAACCTCGTTCCAAAAACGCTAACGTGGCCCTCCGAGGCCCTTGTATCCTTACCACGCATCCTTATGATACGGGCGCGGGCTCCAGCACAGTGCGCGTACTAGGCTAACAATCCCACCAAGTGGGGCAACAGCTTCGGCAACATGCGGCAGTATCCGTGAGGCCCCAGCAGTGTCAATATTTCGTTGTTCCATTCAGTGTGTCACGGCGGGATTCCTGGCACCCGCGCAGCCGCGCGCGTTTAGGCTAGGGCCGGCATCGCTGGAACTCCGTTTTCCTGTTCGTCTCCAGGCGGGGTCCTCGCCAAGATCGTCTTCAGTTGAGGCTGCATCTGCGCTCTCGCACGCGAGGGGGTTCGCAGACGCGGGCTCCAGCACAGCGCGCACATCAGGCTAATAATCCCACTGCGCGGGATACCAGCTTCGGCAACATGAGGCAGCATTCGTGACGCCCCAGCAATGCCAACCTTATTCCCGACCATCCTGTCGTGTTGGGTCCTCGTTTTGAAGAGACGGTCGCCGCGTTCCTCTTCTCCTCTCCTCCTCCTGCCCCTCCTCCCCCTCCTCCCCTTCCTCCTCCTTATGCGTTTCACCCACCCAGTACAGCGTTTCGTGGCCCCATAGGGAGCCCCACCGAAGCCCCCAGTGGGACCGCCCGCATGCGTCCGCCACCACCCAGCACAGCCCTTGCTCCCTTCGTTTCACCCACCCAGTACAGCGCTTCGTGGAACCATAGGGAGCTCCACCGAAGGCCCCAGTGGCACCGCCCGCATGCGTCCGCCACCACCCACTACAGCCATTTCTCTTGCGTTTTACCCACCCACTACAGCGCTTCGTGGCCCCATACGGAGCTCCGCCGAAGGTCCCAGTGGCACCGCCCGCATGCGTCCGCCACCACCCAGCACAGCCCTTGCTCCCTTCGTTTCACCCACCCAGTACAGCGTTTCGTGGCCCCATAGGGGGCTCCGCCGAAGGTCCCAGTGGCACCGCCCGCATGCGTCCGCCACCACCCAGTGCAGCTATTGCTCCTTTCGTTTCACCCACCCAGTACAGCGTTTCGTGGCCCCATATGGGGGCTCCACCGATGGCACCGCCCGCATGCGTCCGCCACCCAGCACAGCCCTTGCTCTCTGCGTTTCACAGTACAGCGCTTCGGCCCCATAGGGAGCCCCACCGAAGCCCCCAGTGGGACCGCCCGCATGCGTCCGCCACCACCCAGCACAGCCCTTGCTCCCTTCGTTTCACCCACCCAGTACAGCGCTTCGTGACCCCATAGGGAGCTCCACCGAAGGTCCCAGTGACACCGCCCGCATGCGTCCGCCACCACCCACTACAGGCATTTCTCCATTCGTTTTTCCCACTCAGTACAGCGCTTCCTGGCCCCATGGCCCCACCGAAGGTCCCAGTGGCACCGCCCGCATGCGTCCGCCACCACCCAGCACAGCCATTTCTCCTTGCGTTTCACCCGCCCAGCACAGCGATTCGTGGCCCCATATGGGGGCCCCACCGGATGTCCCAGTGGCACCGCCCGCATGCGTCCGCCACCACCCAGCACAGCCCTTGCTCCCTGCGTTTCACCCACCCAGTACAGCGCGTTGTGGCCCCATACGGAGTTCCACGGAAGGTCCCAGTGGCACCGCCCGCACGCGTCCGCCACCAAAACGGCCCTTGCTCCGTGCGTTTCACCCGCCCAGCACAACGCTTCGTGGTCCCATAGGGAGCTGCACCGAAGGTCCTAGTGGGACCGCCCGCATGCGTCAACCACCACCCAGCACAGCCCTTGCTCACTGCGCTTCACCCTCTCAGTGCAGCGCTTCGTGGCCCCATAGGGAGCTCCACCGAAGGTCCCAGCGGGGCCGCCCACAGCGCGAACCACCACCCAGCACAGCCCGTGCTTCCTGTGTTCCACTCACCCAGTACAGCGCTTCGTGGCCCCATCAGGAGGTCCACGGAGGGCCCTAGTGGCATCGCCCGCATGCGCCAGCCACCACCCAGTGCAGCGCTTCGTGGCCCCATATGGGGCTCCACCGAAGCTCCCACTGGGACCGTCCGCGTGCGTCAGCTCCTCCCCAGTACAGCGCTTCGTGGCCCTATAGGGAACTCCACCGATGGTCCTAGTGGGGCCGCCCGCATGCGTCAGCCACCACCCAGTACAGCCTTTTTTCCTTGCGTTTCGCCCACCCAGTCCAGCGTTTCGTTACCCCATAGGGAGCTCCACAAAAAGACCCCATTTGCACCGCCCGCGTGCGTCGTCCACCACCCAGTATTCCACTTCGTGGCCCCATTGATTGGGAGCTCCACCAAGCCCCAGTGACACCGACCGCATGCGCCCCCCCCCATTCGGTAAAGCGTTTCGTGGCCCCGTAGGGAGCTCCAGTGGTCCGCCCGCATGCGACCCCCACCCGGTATAGCGGTTCGTGGGCCCATAGGGAGCTCTACCGAAGGCCCCCGTGGCACCGCCCGCATGTGCCCCCCTCCCAGTACAGCGCTTTGTAGCCCCATGGGGGGCCCCAGTGAAGCCCCCAGTGGCACGCATGCGTCGGCCACTACCCAGCACAGCGTTTCGTGGCCCCGTAGGGAACTCCACAAGAAGATCCCAATGGCACAGCCCGCGTGCGTCTCCCCCAACCAGTACAGCGTTTCGTGGCCCATAGGGAGCTCCACCGAATGCCCCAGTGGCACCGCCCGCATGCGTTTCCCCCACCCATTAAGGCACGTCCCTCACGCGTTTCGTTGCCTTAGAGGAAGTTCCACCGCAAGCGGCGCGCACAACGCGTTACTCACAAGTGCATATGGTTGGGGCCTTCGCCAGGATAAATTTGTTCCATCTATTACGTTGCATCGCGGGTTGCTAGCCAGGTTTCGTTTTCTTTGGCAACCGACAACAACGGGCGGCGAGTTGGGGTTTCCCCAGGTAACGGGTGCACCCCCTTGACAATCCTTAGTTGGCTCAGGGACTGTCCAAATGCGGCCCGCCCTCTGTCCTGGCGGCTTAGTCAGCGATCCTCGTTCTCCGCTTGCTGGCGGCAGGCGAGGGATTTCATCAGCTGTGCTGATTCCCCGGGCAGTACTTGCACTTGTGGGTACTTATCCGATCGCTTTGCTCATTCCGCCAGCCCATATTGCCTCGCCGATGTCGTTTGTCTGGTGTTGTTGTCAGTGCGGTGCGGTTGGGCGGCTGCCATCTTGCGGAGGCGGTGGGTGGCGGGTCAGCGGCATCATGGATGTTGGTTGTGCTCTCACGGTTGGGCTCTCAGGGGCCTTTGGGAGGCTGTTTTGAAGCCTCTTGGGGGCCGTGTTGGGGCCTTTTTGGAGCCTCTTGGGGGGCCTCTTGGGGCTTCTTGGGGTGCCTCTTGAGTCCCTCGGGGCATTTGGGGGGCCCCTTGGGGCAGCTTGAGGGCCTCTTGGGGCTGAAGGCTTCATTTTTCTGTTCCTGGTCCCCTTCTTGGGCCCCCCTTTGGGCCGTTTTGGGGCGCTCTTGGGCCGTCTTGGGCGCCTCTTGGGCTGTCTTGGGGCCATCTTGGGCCGTCTTGCGGGAGGTTTCGCGGGCCGTTTCGGGCGGTTTTGGGAGCTTCTTGGGCCGTTTGGGAGCGCCGGCAAACCGAAAAAGCGAGAACGCCAAAAACCATCAGAAACTAAAGGAAAATCAATCATGTCTGCCTTGGGAGGTCTCTTGGAGGCCGCTTGGGGCGTCTTGAAGGCGCTTCGGGCTGTCTGGAGGCAATATTTGGCATCTTGGGTCGCTCTTGGGCCGTCTCGGACCATGTTGAGCTGTCTTGGAGACCACTTGAAGCGCTCATGCGAGCCTGCTGGGACCTGCTCGGGATCTTGCCGGGACCTTGCCGGGTCTTGCGGGGGTATTTTCCGCCTGGGGACCCTCAGGGGCGGCCCCGCGCGCGCGAACTAGAAATATTGTTCACCAGTTGCCGGAGATCTCAGCACGCCCTTGGCCCGTTTGGCGTGCGAATTTCTCCTCTATGGAAACGGACGAATTGTCCACCGGTCTGGCGGCCGTCGCCGTCGCCACCCCATCGCCGTCTCGTCGCCGCCTGTCTTCTGGGCTTGTGCCTGTCTGGCGGCAATGTTGTCGCCATCGCCGCCCCGTCGCCGCTCGTTGCCGCCATTAGACTGCGCTACATAGAGTGCACCACCTAGACTGCAACACTCACACATATAGATTGCACCACCTAGTGTGCAGCACATTGACAGCAACACACCGTTACACATAGCTTTCACCACATAGATTGCACAGCAAAGTTTGCACCACCGAGTAGATTGCACAACATAGACCGCACAACATGGCTTCTCTTCGCTGAAAAGAAATTGGTTTATACCACCACCACCACCATACTCATTACTCATATGTTGTTAGCTTCGCTCGCGAATTCATATGCGAGCTTGACCTCTCGTCTATCCGACATATGAACACATAACAGATATTGTGCGCTCGCTCTCGTTTATAA